TTTCTGAGTCAAAATGAAGGATTTGCAGCTTCAGAAAATGAGGCATGAGAGAATTGCCAAAGAGGAATTCAGGCCTGGAAAGCCATAAAAATAAAGCAAATCGTAGTGTTCAGAGTGAATTCTTATGTTTTATGTTATGACAACATATTCTTAATTGTTTCAAAGGAGGTGCCCCTAGGAGAACCTACACAACAGTACTTTATGCTTGTTTTTGATATAACTGTATATTCTACCAATCTGGCCTCCTTAAATGAACTGCACCATGAATCAATCACTGATTGTTTTCATGTTTTAAATCTTTTACAGCAAAACACAGCACAAAGTTGTTTGTTTGTTTTTTTTTATCATCATACTGTGGTCACTATGCTTAAACCACATCGTGTGGATCTTGTCGTAAGGGTTTTTCTTCACATATATTTTTCAGAATAAGAGAAGCATACCATGCAACTGAAATTAATGCCAATTCTGGGAAGATCTGGAGCACTGTTACCACATTTCCACATCAGCTCTTTCCTAATACCAGGTTTAATATAAATGTTTTCACTGATACCTCAACCCAGCCACTTCATTTTATGCCATATGGTAAGTATCTTTGCAAACGAGAGTAAGAATATGCATAAAGCTCATGTTGGTTGCGTAACCTTGAATTCACAGACTGCAATCTTGAAAAGAAGAATTATTAGCTACTGTTTTACCCTGAAGTGAAACAGCACAAAAATAGCTGGGAGGCTTTTGTTAACATTTGATGGGGGAAAGGGGAACTATTTTCTTTAAGAACTCTCTTCCCATAGCTCACCCCAGAATAGTTTTCTGCTATAAAATACTTAATAGCAAGTATAGAAAGTTTTCAATATATTAATACCAATTTCAAAATGATTCTAGATAAAGATAATATACAAGTGAAAATGGTTGTTCCCATCTATTAAGAACAACGATTTCCTTCAAACATAAATAAATGGTGAGATGGAATAGGCATTTCTATACAGGATTTAATTATCAGGTTCAGGAATCTGTCTGCATCCTCTGTTCTTGGGGTGATCTTGGCCCAAAAGACCAGACACCTCAACGTAAGGCAAGCATCAAACAAAATTTATTGAGGAAGGGAAAGAGGTGTGCAGGGCAAGAACCAGGTACAGGACACAGAGCAAGATACATTTATCATCGACAATGACAGGTTCTTATTATTGCAACAGAGAAAAGGCTTTGGTTATGGCAGGGAATTCTATTAGATACTGCCTAGATTGAGCCTCATGGTTCAGAGGTCAGCTTGGGACCACAGAGAACTACTGAGCATGGGGGCCTCCTATGAGCCTCTCTGAAAGGCTCATGGGTGGAGGGCAGTGTGGACCACATTGTAGATTTAAGCCAATGATATGGTAATTAGCCTTAAGGTATTTCTAGGTTCTGTCCAGACTCTGTTGTACCTATCCTCCGTGGGCTGGAGAATTCTCTGCATCCTTCTGCAGTTGGCGTGCTAAGTTCTGATTGGTAGATTGGTAGGGCATTCCCTCCTCCCTGGCTGTGAGTAGTCACTTGTACAGGATTGAGATGAGCAGTGCTGATATAGGGGACAGGGGCCCCATACTTGTCCTTTCTCCCCAGAACAGTCATATTCCCAACATTCTACCTAACATTTCCACAGTGAGAGTTCTAGTAGCCATGTATGGCACACCCCATCAGAACTAGCAGACCTATCGATTCAGAGTCTTTGGGGGATGGATCCCAGGAATTTATATTTTAACAAACTCACCTCCTCTAAAATTTTAGAATATCTTTAAAGTAATTTTATATATTATTTCATTGTTATAGTGAACTATAACACTACAGTTATAGTTCACTATTTTGCAAAACAATATTAGTTCTTTAAACATTTAGTGACTACTAAATGACCTTCTGTATAAAATAGGAAACTGCTTTCTGACACACAATGATCCAAGAAATATTTTATTGATTGATATTTGTTATTATTACTTGCTTTGTTCTTTCATGCTCTATTCAAGGTTCTGAGTTAGTGCATATTGCTACAAACATGTTGTTATATTGGTATATTAGTTTAGACCATCTGCTTTGAAACTAATGGAATCTTAAGCAAAAAAAAAAAAAATTATTGCGATCTTAAGCAAAAAAAAAAAAACAGAACTGAGTAATATAGCCATTTCTTACATTATTCAGGAGAAGGAATGCAGCAAAGAATTAGGAATGTACTAAAAACACAAATGACCACACAGGCCAAAATTCCTATATGCCTCTCACATCGGCTTTTTTTATAATTACTTCTCACTTCTCCCTTGCTGTCTGCTAACTCATTTTCTTTTCTTTTCAAACAAATAAATAACAACAACAAACTAGAAAACAAGGAAAGCCAAGCTTTCAAGTCTATGGGCTGTTTGGCCAGCCACCTAAAGGAAGGAAGGAATGTATTCCATCCAGTTCCCAATTTCTAAAATGAAGAATCTGATTGGCCAGTCAAGATCGACGCAGTGGCCACCAGTAGGGGCAGTGTTGTCTTCAGCTATGGAGAAAAGGAAATAATTGTGACTAAAGTCTCTGTAGTCCACTTCATTCTTCCAAGTAACATCTAATTTGCAACATCTGTCTCTCTCTCTTTGGATGTCCTTCTGTTAAATTGGTCAAGCCAGAGGCCATTTTTTACTTTCACTTTAAGTTTCAGCAAATTGATTAGGTCATTGTCAAGTTCAGTGTGAGAGCTGCAAAGTGGTAAAGAGGGTGTCTGTGCTCTCCAAGGTGTTACAAGTCCAAGTAAGAAGAGGAAGGTGTGACAGAGAAGAAGAGGAAGAAAAGTCACACTCATGAATACATGCAGAGTACCATTTGCCACATTTGGAGGAACACTTTTATTGTGCCCACTTAACTTGAATGGTTGTACAGGGTTATTGGAGATGGGTGCGTTGCAGTGAATTAATTGACAATAAAGAGATCAATGCTTGGCCCCTATATCTCAGCAGCTAGGGCGTCAGCCACTATACTGGATCTGGCAGATTCAAATCCAGCCCTGGCCTGCGAAACAACAATGACAAATACAACCAAAAAATAGCCAGACATTGTGGTGGGTGCCAGTAGTCCCAGATACTTGGGAGGTTGAGGCAAGAGAATTGCTTAAGCCCAAGAATTGGAGGTTGCTGTGAGCTGTGTTACCCCAGCACTCTACCAATGGCAACATAGTGAGACTCTATCTCCCCCCCCCAAAAAAAGAGCACATGGTTTATTTACACATGTGAGTAGAAGTTAATCAGTCATATGGAATTCCCTGAATACCCAGAGGCAAAGGTTTATATACCAACTTAACAAAAAAGGAGGGCTTTGGGGGCTTCCATAGGAAAGTTTGGGGGCTCTATTTTTTTTTAATGCTAATGACAGTAGGCAGCTATTCTCTCTTTCCTGGAGTTTGCAGGACTCTTCATCAGAGGGGAGTTAATGACAGTTGTATTTTCTTGAATCTCTGCTTCAGTCAGATAAGAAACATCCAGAGAAGATTTCTAATGTTTTCACTTTAAAATCATCTTTATATTAAAATGGTGCTACCCTCATCTTTATATAAGTGTTTTGGTAGTATTACTTTGAGCATTTGGAGTATTACTTTTGGTAGTGTTACTTTGGTAGTATTACTTTGAGCATTTGGATGTGCTCAAGAGAACAAAAGTCTGAAAGGAGTATTAAGAATGACATTGGTAAAAGAGAGATGTTAGAAACCTGAGGACTAAGACAATCTAGATACGTATTGGGAAGCCCTTTGTGACATGGTGCAAAGGATTGAAAGTAGAAGTCTGTCTGTAAGGATTAAAGACCAAGTAGAACTGTTCATAGACATTGTTTATGCTTTAAAGAAGTTTGTCAAAATATCTAAAAGAATAAAATGGATGGGGGATGTTTTACCAGAATGTTGAACAGAAATAGAACATCTTATAAAAAGGGGAATGCATTTTCAAAGTGGGGGTATTAAATATACAAACGAGAGAGGTTTTAGTTGACACAACTAAAAGCCTGTTAAGAAAGAAAGATCAAAATTGAAGAGCAAGATTTAGTGAAATCTTGTATCTCAAAAGAGGTATAAAGCAATAAAGGAAGATGAATAAAAAGCTAGATTTGAGTTTTAGTGTAGGATAATTAAAGAATCTCTAGTGTGTCTTAGCCTTTTAAACAAGGTAGGTAATACAGTTAGAGTTAGATGGTTACATGGAATGGGAGACCACAAGGAATTGAGAAAAGGATGATTGGTATCAGTGGTTAAAACAGAAGAACAAGTATGAAAACTATTTAAAAGAAGCCATGGTGTTAGAGCAGTGGGTGGTAGCTCAAGGTAGCTACTGACATGATTGAAAAGAATGAGTAAAGTTTTAGTAAGAAAAGGAAGGTTTATTAATGATACACAGCATTCCAGGGTCCTGACTGTTTGTTGGAAGTCTAAAATGTTGGGTTTCACAGTGGCCACCTGCCTCCCAAAATGTCACAGCTTCACGTTGCTGCCCAGGCCTTCAGTTCTTTGACTGCTCTTGGTCAAAAAAATGCCTTACACTCCAAAGTGAAGCAAGCATGAAACAAAGTTAATTGAGAAAAAGGAAGATGGATTTACAGAATAAGAGTCAGGTTTAGGCTTATAGAGCAAGATATGTTCACCACAGACAGCAACCGAGCCCCCAGTGTTTCAATAAGGAAGGGACAAAGAGGCGAAAGTTATGGCTGGAAAAAAAAAAGTTATGGATGGTGGTTCACTTTTATACCACTAGGTCAGGCCTACATCGTGGTTCAGAGGTCACCTTGCAACCAGAATCTTACTGCACATGCTGACCTCCCTTCAGCCTCTCTGAAAAGCCATGGAGGGAGGAGATGGCCCATGTGCTAATTAGTCTTCAGGCTGCTCTAGGTCACTTCAAGTCTCTATTGTACCTATTCAGAGCCCTGGATTAGAGAGTTTTCTACATCCTTTTGCAGTTGGCACCCCAAGTTCTGAATGGTAGATTGGCAGAGTGATCCCCCTTCCCTTGGTGTGAGCAATCACTTGGGGGCAGCATTAAGGTGGGCAGCACTAAGATGGGGCCCAAAGGCCTTGCCCTGTCCTCTTCCTGGGAGAGCCTTTCCTCGCTAACTACCTAGCACCAGTGCTTGGCTTATAAAGCTTAACTTAACAGTTGGTTTCTTGGGGGATAGGTAGTGCTTTCAGGCTTAGCCATGCTAAATTTGAAGTAGTAACAAGTCACTCAAAGATGAACATGGTGCAGGTAGGAGAAGACATTCAAGTTAAGCACAAGAAAAGAGGAATAGCTAGAAATTGAGTTATTTTTCTGCCATCATATTGTCTCCCCTCCACATCAAAGCCCTTAGTCATGATATTGCCTGCGGCCATATTTTCTTCCGGCTTTAATTCATGCCATTTTTGTCAATATTACCAAGTTGGGAATTGCAAAGCATTTCCACAATACTTACTCCTTAATTATCTTTACCATTTATTTCTTCAAAAATTTCTTTAATGGCACCTTGATCTATCATAAAACTCACATTTTAAAATTCAACATTATATTCTTTCTTTGTCATTGTGGTAGCAATATTATTTGCACTAATTTTTGTTGACTAATTTGGGACAAAATTATGTCCCTCTGCAAAAGAAGTATAGCATTTTAAAAAAAGCCACAGCAAAGTAAACACATAATTGCAGACAAAACTAAACTCAGAGTTTTGCAATTGACTATTGCAGTATGATAATTCCTTCTGGCTCTTGGTCATCAATACAGTGGACTTCATTGCTGTTGCTGACTGAGGCCGTAGACCATATTCAAAGCATGGGCAAAATATATCCAGAACTTTGCAATATTTATCATTTATAAGTAAGGAAGTGTTTCATGGACAAAGGTCACTGTAACAGGTCAGTAGGGTTCTAGCCAAGCATATGCAGGTAAGATTTTAGCACAGGAGATTATGAGATGTACAAATGACTTCACTCCATAATATGTTTACATCTGTGTCCCAAAGGGAAAGGTAGGGAGACAAAAAGCATGTTCATTAAGGTTTTTATAATATAACTATTCAAGACAGATGCTCGGGTGGTTATTCCTTGGGAAAAGAAGGATAAGCAACTGTGCAGACTTGGGGTCTTCAAGGGCATGGGTTTTGGAGTCTGGTAGATCTTGTTTAGATCCTTGGATTACCACTTAATCTCTACCAAATCACGTAGCTTCTTCAAAATTAGTGAATTCATCTGAAAAATTTGGAATATAATAGCTATATCACAGGTACTATATAAAGATATTGCTTGTATAGCATACTATAAACCCTATTCAACAGGTGAAATAATCTTCCCATATAAATCAATGAAAAGTGGTGAAGGCTATATAGGATTTCCATGGTCTATTGGTAGAATACTGATGAGCGCTTGTCAGTTGTTACAGAATTGTATTAATAACATGGTACAGATCTGGATATTAACTAATGTAAATGCTCTGAAAATATTTATTTCAGTTCATTTAAAATTCTTTTATCATGATGGTGCCCTTGGAATGAGCAACATATCTCCTTTAAGTTGAAAATGGAAAGAAGAAAACACATCTGGGAGCTTTGCTTGATTTTCCTGTGTCTAAGGCTATTTCCTGGCTACACTACCCAAAGGGTGGTTGCAGAAGATTATCTTCTGCAGTGCTATAATGTACCCAAGGTTTTAAAATGAGGAACACAATACCTAGATTTGTTATGTTATAAGGAAAAGAGAGCTTATCAAAAGAATTGCAAACAATGTTTTTTAACAAATATCCATAAATCTAACCAGACTAATAGATGAGGTCATCTCATTTTCATTCCTCTTCATGTGGCTAGTTACAGTATTGTATAACGCACCTGGCACTGTTTATGCTCAAAACCTTTGTCCCACTTATTAAATGATAAATTCTTCTTTTTTTCACTTAATTGTAAATTAAAATCGTAACTGTATACATTTATGGGGTACAATGAGATGATTTGATATACAATGTGGAATGTGTAAATCAAACTCCCCGGGTTTTGTGGTAAGACATTTAAAATTTACTCTTAGTTATTTTGAATATACCCTGGCCTTGTGCATATTAGGCAAGATCCCACCAAATGCCCTCCCTCCCCCTGCCAATCAACCTCCCTCCCCTTTCCTGTTTCCTCCTCTCCCCTCCCCTTTGCTAGACTCTATTTGTGTTTTATCATTCCCATGAATGTGTATAAGTATTTGTATATATTTATTTCATAATAGTATTGAGTACATTGGATATAAATGGTAAATTCTTATTGTCTTTTATCATTTGCCTTCGTTTTTAGCTAATTGTCTCGTCAAAGACCTAATTGCAGAAATTCGACATTTTTGTACAAATGACCACATGTTCCTCAAAGATTATATTCTAAGTGTATGTGGCTCTGAAGAATTTTTGCAAAAGTAAGTATCTGATTAAGGTAAATTTTGAGTTTTTTAAATAATATGTAAATGTTTAGTACATTTTTTGTTTTCTTTTAAATATACTTTATAAAAACATTGTACTCTAGTGATTAGAATAATTAAATTACTTGTACCTCCTTTTCAGTAAATTTGAAATTATATGAACCATATTAATTGACCTATGCTTGATTTTATTTTATGAGTATTTATGGCAAGAGACATTTAAGTGGCTTGTGACAAGGGTGACCAGCCATCTCAGTTTGCCCAGGAAAGAGGTGTTTTCAGAATTTCAGTTTGAAACCAGCAAAGACGCAGGCAAACCAAGACAGATTGATTGCCCTGTCTGTAATAAAGGTTATTAGGATTGATCTACTTTGAGAAATGAATTATTTGGTAACACATAATTTTTCTTTGGAATTTAGCATGTCAATTAAATACTGTTATAAATTATGAAGAGTTATAAGCATTATGATATTTTTATTATAGAAGAGTAATTTTACTCTATTTTACTCTTTCTTTATTGAGGCGGCTTATTAAAACAATTGGAATAGTCCATTCTCATGTTTAGCAACTTCAAATATTTCTTTGATAGAAAATTCAACTTTTAATTTACCACAGTAGCCATTTGCTTAAATTCCTTAGAGACCATCCTTGAAAATACAATACAGCTTTAAGTAAAGAAATATTTCTTTACTGGTGATGCATAGTTATTCTAAACAGTAAAATACAAAAGACTACAATGTTCAAAAGAGAGAATCACCATTTATGTTTGTCCTTTGCATTTTGACAAGGGTCTAACGATCAACAACAGTCTTGTGGAATTAAAAATGTATTTCTTTTGATATTTCTATTGTCATTGTCACTATTATTCACTGTGATTATGCTTAAAAATATCTTATGGATAATTTGGTGAATTCTTATCAAATTTAGTATTCTACTGTACATTGTTAACTGTGAATGATTTTTAAAACTGTTTTCCTTTTTATATTACCACTTATAATAACATAATAAGTACTTATATTAAAGCACAGAAGCTGTATTGTGCTAAGTTCACAGATATTCCCTTTTTTTTCTTTTCTACTTGAACTTTTTTTTGCAATTTTTGGCTGATCCACAGGTGCCGCCCCATTTGAACTTTTTTTTAGAGTCAGAGTCTCACTTTGTCACCCTTGGTAGAGTGCTGTGGCATCACAGCTCATAGCAACCTCCAGCTCTTGGGCTTAGGTGATTCTCTTGCCTCAGCCTCCCAAGTAGCTGGGACCACAGGTGCCCATCACAATGCCCAGCTATTTTTTGTTGCAGTTTGGCCAGGGCTTGATTTGAACCCTCCACCCTCAGTATATGGGGCCAGCTACTCACTGAGCCACAGGTGCCGCCCATCTATTTGAACTTCTTAACACACTCAATGACTAAGCTGCTACCTTCTTCCAACATATAGTTTTGATGGTATTTCCATGAATGAAGGAAAATAATTTCGTAAATTTAATTTTATATTGACTAGTCATTAAAACTTACCATTTGAATGTACAATTTTCCAATTGTACTTTTGTTGATGCCCAAACATAAGATCCAGAGGAAAGAAACATTTTCAAATATTTGCATTAAGTTTTGGCAATAAGAAATATCATCCAGAAAGCAATTGTGTTTAAGAAATAGAAACTTGGCAGGTGGGATGCCGTGGCTCATACCTGTAATCTGAGCACTTTGGGAGGCCAAGATGAAAAGCTCACTTGAGCTCAGCAATTTGAGACTAGCCTGAGCAAGAGGGTGACCCCATCTCTAGTACAAATAGAAAAATTATCCAGGGGTTGTGGTGGGCACCTGTAGTCCCAGCTATATGGCAGGCTGAGGCAGGAGGATGGTTACAGATTGTGGTGAGCTAGGCTGCCATCAGCACTCCAGCCTGAAGCAGCCAATGGGAAAGCATAATGGCAAGAAAATGTACAATGGACCTTGGTTTTACCGTGATTTCAAATAGACAAATCATTCGTAAATAATTCAATAATCAACTAATAAAAATGTTGAACATTTTAATATTGTCAGAGCCATTTAATGATACTAAAAATTTATTTAACAGGGTTTTGTTAAGATAGGAAAGTTGCAAAATAGTATAGGTTAGCTATAGTCAATTTATTCCCTAATGGAAAATGAAGCATTTGTATATTTCAGAGATTTTTTTTACTATTTAAAAGTAAAGCCTACCTGTATTAATATGATTTATTTAAATGAGTAGACTATTCATAACTGTTCTTTTTAATATCTAACGGAATACACATTAGTCATTTAGATGTTATTTTTTAGAGTATTCCAATGTAACTTATCTTACAAGTATATCTTTAAAGCTAGGAAATCTACTTATAAAATTCTTCTATGGAGGGGCACAGGTAACCTGAAATAAGTCAATAATGAAATATGTAATAATTTACACTCAAAACCTTACAGTGCTACACTTCATCTGGAGTATTCAAGTGGCTAAAGCTGCAATGATAACAAGAGCAATTGTCATTATTAAGTGCTCATTGTTTCCTTACCTCCTACTGAGTACACATCTAAGTCTCATGAGATTGATACTGTGAACACCTGTTTTATTGATGGGCACACGGAGGCGTTGTTCAAGGTCATATAGCTAAGAAGGTAGAGTAAATCTGAATTCCACCTAGATTTTTTTCTCTCTGCGTGGCCCTGGCTCTTATCTACAAAAACAATACTGTGAAATCACTTGAGAGGGATATAGGAAATAGTAAATAGTTCTTCTTGCTGGAGCATATAGTTAAAAAAAAATGTATTCAAATTTTCAGGTGTCTGCAAGGGTAGGAGTACAAGAATTACAGTAGTCCAATTCAAAACCTATTAAGCACCACACATGTGCAAAACATTTAGTCAATCACTGAGAATACAAAGATGATTTATGTATTATATAACTCCTGATGTCTTTCTGGCCATGTCATCACTTATCTTAAAGCCCTAGGATGAGGATAAATATTTGTATTATATACTGAAAGACTTTAGATTAGAGGGGTGGGAACAATTTGGACAATAATAAGAAAATGGTGCAAAGAAAAGTCAATGAGCACTTGTATTTAAAGGATAATTACTGAGGTAAGAAATCAGGAATACATGATAAAATCTTAATAGCTTTGTAATATGTAAAAGGCACATGTAATTTTTAAAATAATTATTAATCCCCCCAAACAGGTTCAGAATGTCAATAGTAATTCAAACAGATGAGACATATTTAAAGAGTTTAACCTAACTAGTAACCTACATGTAATTAAAACAATGAGAAACCACTTTGCTTGTCAAATTGTTAAAATATTTACAAAATGAAGTTCTGTGGAAAAATAAACATTCCCCAAACAGCAGTTTGGAATATAAAATGACATAGCACTTGCTGTAAGGGAATTTGGTAAAAATGTATCAAAAGTCTTTATATTGCCTATAATCTGTTTTAGCAATTCTGCTCCTGCAAATATTTCTAAGAAAACAATTATAGTTACCAAAAAAGATTTAGACATAAAGGTATTTGCTATAGCAAAACAGCAAATATCTGACGATAAACAGAAAAACCAAGGGAAAAGGGAAATATCCAACAATACTCCAAAATAATGGTAAACATAGACCATGAAACATAATTTGATGGAAATGGGGCACGGAATTTATAAAATATTGTTAAAACATAGCACTATATTCCTTGATATAAAAATATGTGTCCTAGTTTGTCAAGGTAAAAAATATTTTCAAATCATATTTTAAGATATTTTGTTTAAAAAATTTGTATTTGGAAATAATGAAATCCTAGACACTAAAGTGTAAGAGTATTTACGCCTCTTTTCAAAAAGAATGACCATATATTAATTCATTTTTTAATTTATGAAATGTTGACAGGAAGCCTTTTTGTTTTCATGAAATTAAAAAAAATAAGTTATCTCTATTGGGAGAGAAGTATTTAAATGTCAGTGTGCATAAGAATGTATGCTTTAAAAAAGTTAGAAAGTAGAGTTAGAAGACCATTTCTGAACACATGAAAGATAGCCAGGACCTAAGACAAAGTAATGATGGTTGCTTAAACAAGAGACACGGTTGGGTACGGCAATGGTGGAAGATGTGAGATGGTGTGGGAAAGAGAAGCATCCAGTGAAGCCTGGGTTCAGTGGTGACTTTAGTAAAAACAATACAGATGGGACAGAGGTAGAGGCTTGGGAGGTGCATAAGAACCAATTGAGTTTGGGACAGGTTGGGTATTCGAGTGCCAAAGGGTATCTGATAATGAGAACGTAGATGAGGTTTTGGAAAACTGTCAGGAGTTAAGGAATCAGTGGGTGTTTAAAAACATTATTTTAATAGACAAAAATTATATATGTTTGGTGTATACAATATGATGTCTTAAAATAAGTATACTTTTAGCATGGATAAAATAGGCTAATTAAAATATGCATTACCTCACATCCTTATGAGTTTTGAGGAGAATACTTAAGATGGACTTTTTTATGGAAATCATTAGTTTTAAAAGGAAATAGTGGCCTTTGAAACAGGCGAAATCACATAGAGAAGGACAAAGAAAAGATCCTGAGACATCAATATGTAAGGAATGAAAACAGAAAGAGGAGCAGAAAATGGAAAATGAGGAAAACCATGCCCAACAAGGAATGAGAAAGTTTCAAGTACCAAGGGATATACTTCTAACTGCTTAAAATAAATGCTATTGTGTATTGAATAAATTACCATTAAATTTGATAGCTAGGAAGTTATTTAATGACACAAGTAAGAGTAAGTTTAGAAAAGTGACAGAAAGAAAAGTAAGATTGCAGTGAGCCCAGAATGGAAAGTGATAAATAGAAATGATGTATCCAGACGACTCTGTGAAATAAGGCATGGTCGCCAAACTTGGAGAATGGATTCTAGATGCTGAGAGGAATGGGTTTGGAGACTGGGGAGTGTGGTTTGCAGCAATTTGAAAATGTTCGTAGACCAGAGGGAAAGAGCCAAAGGAGAAGGAAGGG